CTTAAAACAACTCAAAACGCCCTCCTGCCGCTTATTTTGTGTAAGTTTTTCATTATTAGCTCATTTTAAGCCATTTCCAGAAAAAAGTTGCATTTTCAAAAAAGTCGCGATTCGGAAGTTTTACCTTTTGTTCAATTGTAAATGATTATAAAGTTATGTGTAATATAGTGCTTTTGAAAAAGGTGTTTTCAAACAAGCCCAGGCTACCTATAAACGATTAATCTATGATTTGTCTATTATCTATGAATTGTCGTTCACGTGTATTCACGTCGAGTTTTAAGGTTATTTGTACTTGCCTATTTATTTATATAAGGTATGGATTTTTAAATTTCTTCTACATTTATTTATTAATTTATTAGAAAATCTACGGGAGTGTCTCCCTTTTACAATGTTTAGTTAAATGTAACCAGTAAGAAGGAAATAAAAAGTTAACTAACAAAGTAAAGGAAAATGCTTCTTTTTAGCAGAAGAATGTAATGTAAACAGAAAAGTTTTTGCTAAGATTTATAAGGTGGTTTATCTTTTGTATTGATAATCATATAAAATAAGAGACGAGGTATAATGGACGAAAATCTATTCTAATCTCTAGACGATTTTGAAGAACGTGTTTGATTCTTGAAGATCTGAAAATATTTACATTAGGTACGTACTAATTGAATTTGGACTTGGATAAGGAAACAGTACATTGCAGTATTTAACAGTGAAATGTAATTTTTGTGTTTCAGTTGAGAATTCATAATGGGACTTGAAAAACATTAATATTTATAGACACAGAAGAGTAGGTCGCAAAATACATACAGTTTAAGCAGTCCTGACATAAAAACAATCTGGTTTATCATTAGTGCAGTTGGTCAATGACAAAATGTACATAAAATGATATTGTTTGAAATTGAGGAATCTAAAGCTGTTAGTACCGAATACTACTGTATCAATTAAGAGATATATGTTGCCATTGATATTGGTATCATAGATTGAGTATATAATGTACCTGGTGCAAAGCTTCCTGTTTGTAATAGAAAAGTCAATCCTGATATGGTTGTAAGTATAAGTCCTAAATACTAAAGTTAGCATAGTTGTCACTCTAGCACTATATTTTGAGAAAGTTGATGATCTTAATCAATTGAACAAGCTATAGTAAGAACGCAACACTATTTCTTAACTCCAAGATAAAGTTCCAAAGCTAAAGCAGTAGTCAGTGGTGATAGTAAATTGGATAATAGAACACAATTATTAAAAGGGTATCAATTAGGTGGTCAGTTTGAATAACTGATTGTCCATGAGCATCTGGTACTCAACAGTGTTGCACAATGATGATACTCAGACATACGAAACATGGAAATTTATTTTTAGAATATATATGTTAACTAACCTCTTCTTTTTCTGTACGACAAGGGTCAGTCTGGCCCTGATAGAATATATAGCTATACAACACTGCATCCAATCACCCGGTAATTAGTAGGATTCGTATCTTTGTACTCATGGATTGTTTGTTAGGTTATATTAAGTGTGATTGACGTTGTTTATGTTGCAGCTAGCCTTTTTTGCGCGTTGTAGGCTTGTATGTATGTAATCAGTTGAAGTTATTAGCAGTAGATCAGTATTTTAGTGTCATACGTCAGTGCAGAACAGTAATTTGCATTGACTTGTGCATTTCTAGAGGAACAGTTTTCTATAAGCTGGAATTGGATCTAAATCTGCTTGATTTCTTTGTATGAGGTTGTATGACACATCGCGTGTTTTAAACGTCAGTGCAGAACGCTGGTGATTTGCACGACGGTGTGATGATCACTGCAAATGAAATACGCCAAATGCCGGACGCACTTGCGCTACTCAGAAATAATTTTAGTAGACGCCTCGAAGTCTTTTAGTACAGGGTTCGAATTTCGAGCAATTTTTGTATTATACGTATCTACGTATGTGTAGGTACCTATGTGTTTTCTGGTATTGTAATTATTTTTTTTAATGGAAGGATAAGACTATTGTCGAACCACCCATAAAAGAAGGTACCTTGGCAATACCTCAATGGTGGTTTGGAAATTTACCTTACAATTAATAAAGTTACTATTACCTATCTAGAGAATGTTAATATACATATTAAACTTTAAATAATGTTAATTTTTTCTTTTGTGTTATTAATACATGTCGAGGTGTATTTTAAATACTACGGCATACTATCAGCGATGAACAGACTAGTTATTTGATTAATTGTAATCCCTATGGGCGTCTAAAGATTATTATATGAGTAGCGTAGTAGCAAGCTATTGAAATTTACTTTATTATTCGTTCAACAACCGTCACTATTCATCGATGTAATTGCTTAGTCGTTATCGCAATTTTTCTATACGTTGTTAATTCACGTTCTGGATTGCAACTTCGTCTGGTTTTCCTATAAGCCAATAACAGAAGTGTTTTGACACAAAAAAATCCAGAAGTCAGTTTGCCAACTGATTTGGAAGCCTTGAATAGTCTGTATTAATAAGTAATAAATTGTTTTGGACAGCTGAGTTTATTTGGAAAATTTATGGTGGCACAATTACGGCAAGGAAAAGTAGCTTTTTGATTGTAGTTTTTTCCTGTGGTATTTACTAAAAAGTGTCTATGGAAGAAGATGTAGGTATTTAAAAAACCTACAAAATGACCTGTAGTGGTTAACAATTAGATTTATAGTTTTCAAATTACGTAAAACCGATAAAATAGTGGTAATTTAAATTCGTTTATAATTAATAAGCAATCAATCTAAAACGTCTAAAAATGCGCCGAAAAGGTAGCTCATGTATGGCACAACAATATCCCCTGAGGTGGACGTTGTATGTATAACCGTATTTGCACAGTTGCAATTGTTTATTAGAAATTCTTTATAAATAATTTGTTGCTCTGGGAGCTATCCGACAGTGTCCAACAAGAGCTTATTTTATTTGCAAAGAATTGGATTTGAGTTTTCCCTTTTGCAGAGCATTAATTTTTGCAATGGATGAAAGGTAAAATAAAAAATGATTGAAAATATTCAAATGGGAAAAGGCCTTTATTGACCTGTTATTGTGCAAGAGTAACATGTTCTTCGGTGATAAGCAAATTTTAGCTGACCGGGAAGGTTACAGTATTAGGCTGCGTTAGTGGTTCTTCGCTCGTGCATAAAATCGACCAACAGCAACCCCTCTCCAGTTCCAGAAAACCATGAACTGTGCCTGCAGACAAACGTGTTTTCAGATTCAATTGGTTTAACTCATAATTGCAACAATGTTTAGTTAAATGTAACCAGTAAGAAGGAAATAAAAAGTTAACTAACAAAGTAAAGGAAAATGCTTCTTTTTAGCAGAAGAATGTAATGTAAACAGAAAAGTTTTTGCTAAGATTTATAAGGTGGTTTATCTTTTGTATTGATAATCATATAAAATAAGAGACGAGGTATAATGGACGAAAATCTATTCTAATCTCTAGACGATTTTGAAGAACGTGTTTGATTCTTGAAGATCTGAAAATATTTACATTAGGTACGTACTAATTGAATTTGGACTTGGATAAGGAAACAGTACATTGCAGTATTTAACAGTGAAATGTAATTTTTGTGTTTCAGTTGAGAATTCATAATGGGACTTGAAAAACATTAATATTTATAGACACAGAAGAGTAGGTCGCAAAATACATACAGTTTAAGCAGTCCTGACATAAAAACAATCTGGTTTATCATTAGTGCCGTTGGTCAATGACAAAATGTACATAAAATGATATTGTTTGAAATTGAGGAATCTAAAGCTGTTAGTACCGAATACTACTGTATCAATTAAGAGATATATGTTGCCATTGATATTGGTATCATAGATTGAGTATATAATGTACCTGGTGCAAAGCTTCCTGTTTGTAATAGAAAAGTCAATCCTGATATGGTTGTAAGTATAAGTCCTAAATACTAAAGTTAGCATAGTTGTCACTCTAGCACTATATTTTGAGAAAGTTGATGATCTTAAGCAATTGAACAAGCTATAGTAAGAACGCAACACTATTTCTTAACTCCAAGATAAAGTTCCAAAGCTAAAGCAGTAGTCAGTGGTGATAGTAAATTGGATAATAGAACACAATTATTAAAAGGGTATCAATTAGGTGGTCAGTTTGAATAACTGATTGTCCATGAGCATCTGGTACTCAACAGTGTTGCACAATGATGATACTCAGACATACGAAACATGGAAATTTATTTTTAGAATATATATGTTAACTAACCTCTTCTTTTTCTGTACGACAAGGGTCAGTCTGGCCCTGATAGAATATATAGCTATACAACACTGCATCCAATCACCCGGTAATTAGTAGGATTCGTATCTTTGTACTCATGGATTGTTTGTTAGGTTATATTAAGTGTGATTGACGTTGTTTATGTTGCAGCTAGCCTTTTTTGCGCGTTGTAGGCTTGTATGTATGTAATCAGTTGAAGTTATTAGCAGTAGATCAGTATTTTAGTGTCATACGTCAGTGCAGAACAGTAATTTGCATTGACTTGTGCATTTCTAGAGGAACAGTTTTCTATAAGCTGGAATTGGATGTACGGGTCCTATACCTTGACCAGCGTGTAGTCCGTTCGGATCTAAATCTGCTTGATTTCTTTGTATGAGGTTGTATGACACATCGAGTGTATTAAACGTCAGTGCAGAACGCTGGTGATTTGCACGACGGTGTGATGATTACTGCAAATGAAATACGCCAAATGCCGGACGCACTTGCGCTACTCAAAAATAATTTTAGTAGACGCCTCGAAGTCTTTTAGTACAGGGACAGGGACAGACTAGTTATTTGATTAATTGTAATCCCTATGGGCGTCTAAAGATTATTATATGAGTAGCGTAGTAGCAAGCTATTGAAATTTACTTTATTATTCGTTCAACAACCGTCACTATTCATCGATGTAATTGCTTAGTCGTTATCGCAATTTTTCTATACGTTGTTAATTCACGTTCTGGATTGCAACTTCGTCTGGTTTTCCTATAAGCCAATAACAGAAGTGTTTTGACACAAAAAAATCCAGAAGTCAGTTTGCCAACTGATTTGGAAGCCTTGAATAGTCTGTATTAATAAGTAATAAATTGTTTTGGACAGCTGAGTTTATTTGGAAAATTTATGGTGGCACAATTACGGCAAGGAAAAGTAGCTTTTTGATTGTAGTTTTTTCCTGTGGTATTTACTAAAAAGTGTCTATGGAAGAAGATGTAGGTATTTAAAAAACCTACAAAATGACCTGTAGTGGTTAACAATTAGATTTATAGTTTTCAAATTACGTAAAACCGATAAAATAGTGGTAATTTAAATTCGTTTATAATTAATAAGCAATCAATCTAAAACGTCTAAAAATGCGCCGAAAAGGTAGCTCATGTATGGCACAACAATATCCCCTGAGGTGGACGTTGTATGTATAACCGTATTTGCACAGTTGCAATTGTTTATTAGAAATTCTTTATAAATAATTTGTTGCTCTGGGAGCTATCCGACAGTGTCCAACAAGAGCTTATTTTATTTGCAAAGAATTGGATTTGAGTTTTCCCTTTTGCAGAGCATTAATTTTTGCAATGAATGAAAGGTAAAATAAAAAATGATTGAAAATATTCAAATGGGAAAAGGCCTTTATTGACCTGTTATTGTGCAAGAGTAACATGTTCTTCGGTGATAAGCAAATTTTAGCTGACCGAGAAGGTTACAGTATTAGGCTGCGTTAGTGGTTCTTCGCTCGTGCATAAAATCGACCAACAGCAACCCCTCTCCAGTTCCAGAAAACCATGAACTGTGCCTGCAGACAAACGTGTTTTCAGATTCAATTGGTTTAACTCATAATTGCACCGTTATGCTTGCTCATTTTGATGTTGGTGTGTAATGGTTTTGCGCAAAAAATCTTCACTGACGATGATGATTTATATTTTTGACACGGTTACGCCTTTCGTTAAGTTCTTTGCATCAAACGTGACTATGAAAGCGTTTCATTTCCGGAGTATGCTTTCAATATGCGTAGAATTTAAGTTGGTTTCACGTTTTCGAGTGTAAGGAACTTACTAATAATTCGTTGCGCAACGCTGCTGTGCACCTTCTTCTCACTCGTTGTGATGGCTACTAAACATTGGATATTTTAGTCTGTACGACAATTTTTCCAGTTATCAGCCTCATTTTCTTTATTTATTATCTCTTCAAGAGCATTTGACCTTTTGACATATTTTGGCCACACTGACGGTCATGATTGATAGACCGGAACCCATATTTTATAACTTTTATCATGTTCAAAAATAATATAATTGAAGAGATAATTTTGTTTACATAATTGAAAGCACGTTGACAGGTCTTATAAGTTTCCTTTACTGTCCGCAGTATCACTTTTGTTGATGTAGTGGTGCC